TTGCTTAATCCTCACAACCACCCTAAACACGTGTATATTTATCTCCCCATTTGACAGATGAGGAAACTGAGGCTCAGTTGGTGAAGCCACTGGCCAGAGGCCACACAGCTGGATTTAACCCAGGTTTGTCTAACCCCAAAATCTGTTTTAAACCGGGATGCTCAGGTGCCCTTCAAAATGTCCTTCAAGGAAATTGCATGGCTTTGAAAATCAGAGGGGGAGAAAACCAAACAAACCAAACAAGAAATATTACATTTTTTTAACCACTTATTCAAGCTCTTATGGGGCCTGAGACCAACTGGGCTTGGGCAGGGTTTCTCGGCAGGGGCACTGTTTATATTTTGGGTGGGATGTTCCTTCATCGTGCCTGGCCATGGCCCACATGGCACGTCACTACCCTCCAAACACCAGCTAGGACCCCCAATTATGTGTCAACCAGGCATCTCCTCTTAAGGACTGCTGGATGGTACCCTTTGGTGACACTGAGCTCCCGCTGAAAGGCTGGGCACCTCTCCCACATTGCAGTCCCCCTATTAGAGTTGACCCTCCCTGCAGACCTGAGAGGCAGGTGTTTCAATGGCCTCATTTTACAGAGATGAGGCTCAGAGAGGCTGGGTGACCTGCCCAAGGTCACACAGTCTGGACTTGGCCCCACATCTTGTCCCCATGCTGTATTGTCTCGCCTTGGGGAGCAGGCAGGGCCAGGAGGTGTCTCTTATGGCCCTGGGGTCAGGGTGAAGGGGAGGGAGAGGTGAGTTATCTGCAGTCCCAGGCTCACAGGCCAGGCAGCCACCAATTGCCACTGTCCTCTCTCCAGCCATCTGAGGCCAGGTCGGGAGAACTGAAGCCCCAGCTGCAGGGCTGGGCGGGCGTTGGGGACTGGGAAAGCGTGTACTCCCTCAGTCTGCCCGGCAGCGGCCGGTGGCCGCCCGCCAGGCCCCGCCTGACGTCAGGGTCTGACCAGGGACATAATGTGCTGGCGTTCAGACAAGGGCTGGCTGCAGGGAGACAGGGCCTGGAGGCGGGGCGGTCAGAGGGAGACAGGCGAGGGGGGAGAGAAAAGGAAGGAAAGAGAAACAGACAGAGAGACAGAGAGAGACACAGAGACACAGCGAGGTGGAGAAGAGAAATACAGAAACAAAAAGAAGGAAACCAAGAGAGGGAGTGAGAGACACACAGAGCGTGAAAAGGGGAAATTGAGGTGGAAAATGAGAGGCATGGAGACACAGAAAAACACCAATAGAAAGTTGTTCAGAGAGAGAGTGAGGAGAGAGCAGAGGAGGTGGTGGAGAAGTGGGCTGGGCATGGGGTTAAGTGCAAGCTCGGGAGACCCCAGACCTGGGCTGGGATGTGGCCCTGCTCCGGTGGGCTGGTGACTCAGCGCTCCAAGCCTGTGATTCCTTACCTGGGTACTGGAACTCAAGTCACAGGCTTTGCTCATCTGGGGAGGGGACAGAGCACCCCCTCCATGATAGGGGTGGTGGGAGTCAATCTATATAAAGTGCTCTGGTAGAGCTTTTGCAGGTAGTAAGTGCTCAGTTAACTGGAGTTGACAATAAGACGGGTTTGGGCAGGGAAGGAAAGAGAGAAACGGGATGCCCAGAGCCAGAACGGAGGTGAGAGCTGACCCCGTGAAAATTAGCCCTCATTCCACAGCACCCCCTTCCCACCCCCGGCATGACTCGGACACAAGGCCACTGGCACAGACCTTGGCCTGGCCTTGCCTATCTCAGGGCCCAACCCCCTGTTTATGGGCTCAAGAAGGCCATGATCCCAGGGCCATCACGTCACCAAAGCCAAACAAGGCCAGGCCCTGCTTGCTGCTGGCCTTACAGCCTTGTCACCCCTTATCCAGCTTAATTATTAAATGGCCCAGCAGAGCTGAGGGTCTGAGCCAGCTGCCCTACCGGGTGTGGGCAGCTGTGACTGGGTGTCCCTCATTAATGCAGGGACACACATTCCAGAGACCCCAGGTTGCACTTGCAAAGTGCCCTTTCTCCCGCTCCCACTGTTCCTAGGAGCCTCCACCATCCTCGTCTTCATCCTCAGAGTTCTCATTTAGTGAGCAGTTACTGTGTACGGGGCATGATCCTTAATCCCCCTGACAGTCCCAACAGAGTGGGCGCTATTATTATTCTACTTTACAGATGAGGAAACTGAGGCTCAGAGAACTGGAGTCACTTGCCCAAGGCCACCTGCTAACTTGCTGAGTGGCAGAGCCAAGATTCCAACCCAGCCACCCTCTTGACCAGACAGCAGCTCTCATTTCCTGAGCAGCTGCTGAGTGCGAGGCTCAGGGCCAGAAGCTTTACCCACATCATCTCTTTCAACCCCCAGGATGATCCTCTGAGGCAGACATTCTCAGCCGAGGGCCATTTTCCCCCTCGGGAGCCTTTAGGCTACATCTAGGGACATTTTGGATTGTCACAACTAGGGAAATGAAACTGGCATCTAGTTGGTGGAGGCTCCCATTCAGGATCCCACAATGCACAGGACAGAGCACAGCAGAGAATAATCCAGCCCCAAATGTCAGTAGCACAGAAGCCAAGAGCCTTGCTAGGAGGTGAAGTCTGTCATGGTGTCCATTTTGCAGATGTGAAAGTAGAGGCACACAGAGAGAACACCACTGCCCGAGTACCTACTCCATGACCCTGCTCTTCCCCGTAAGACCCCACTGTCATTGCTGATGGCTCCTGTCCTTGGGAGACCCCTGCCTCTCTTCCAGGCCCTTCTCTAAGTCCTTGCTTGCCTAATGTAAACAATGCCACTTTTTAACACATGAAGACAGTGTTTTAATCAAGATCAAGCCAAAAAGTCACTAGGATGGTCAGAATGCCTTTACATGAGTTTGTATTTTATTCACAGCAGCATTGAGGGACATTGGAGATTGGCCACACAGGGATTCATGGAACAAGGATTTTCTAAGCACCTACTAGGCACCAGGCCCTGTCCTTGGTGCAGGAGATTCAGCAGAGAACCAGACAGACCAGCCCCTACTGGGGCTTTAGGAGCTGACACTCTAATGGGGACCATGGGTAATACACAAAAAACAAATAAACAAAAAACCAAATAAACAGTCAAGATAATTTCAGAGTGTGTTCAGACTATGCAGAGAGGGAAGGGCTGTTATAGGGAGGGTGGTGTCCAAGAAGGCCTTTCTGAGGAAGTAAGACCTGAAGGATGACAAGGAACTAGCTTTAGGAAGAGGCAGGATGAAAGGTTCTGGGCAGAGGGAATAGCATGTGCAAAGGCCCTGAGGCAGGAGCATGCATGGAGTGTTGAGGCACAGCAAGGAGGCCTGTGGCTGGAGAGGAAGTTAGAGAAGTAACAAGCACACAGCTGTGTAGGACTGTGTGGCCACTGTAAGGGCTTTGCATGTGCTCTGAGGGAGCTGGGGGCCATGTGACGATTTTGAACAGAAGAGGAACAGGACTGACTTGAGTTCTAATAAGATCCCTTTGGATGCTGTAGTCAGTTGAATAATGCCCCCCCTCCCCAAAGATGTCCACATCTTAATCCCCCAGAGCTTCAAATGTTACTTTATATGACAAAAGGAACTGTGCAGCTGTTAAGGATCTTGAGGTTAGAAGATTATCCTGGATTATCTAAGTGGACACAATGTAATCACAGGAGTCCTTATAAGATGGAGGCAGAAGGAGATTTGACTACGGAAAAGGAGAAGGCAGAGAGAATGACAGAAACAGACTGAAAGAATGCACGTCGAAGATGGAGGAAGGGGCCACAAGCCCGGGAATGCAGGTGATCACTAGGAGTTGAAAACGGCAAGGAAACAGCTTCTCCTCGGGAGTCTCCAGCAAGAACCAGCCCTGCCAGCACCCTGACTTTTGCCTGGAGACTGATTTCAGACTTCTGACCTCCAGAACCGTAAGTAAATAAATTCACATTGTTTTAAGCCAATAAGTTTGTGGTAATTTGCTACAGCAGTCCTGGGAAACTAATGCAGATGCGTGGGGAAGACAGACTGTAGGAGGGTGAGGTGGGAGCAGGGGGGCCAGGGAGGGGGCTACTGCAATAGTCCAGGCAGGAAATGAGAAGTGAATGGATTTGAGAGAACTTTAGGTTCCCAAAGAGGCAGCCTTGCTGATAGACTGGACGCCTAGGGCAAGCGGGCGGGGAGAGCCAGTGTCTCTGGCTCACTCAGTCATCACTGGGCTGGTGCCCGGGACACAGAGCTGGCCACCACGTGGATTCTGCTCTGAGGAAGAATTCAGCTGGAGGAGGCCCAGGGTAATGGGAGGGACCAGGCTTAGCTGCCCGAAAACCTCGCGTCTCATGCCATTCAGGTCTCTTCCCCCGACGTCACCTCCTCCGGGAGGCCTTCCTGACCACCCTGCCTCAGAGAGCCCCTCCCACCATCTCTTTCTTCCCCTGCTTTGCTTTGCTTCGTGGGTCTTACTGTTGTGCTACATGCTACATGTTTGTTTCTTTGCTGTCTGGCCCCTCCCCAACTCAGTCATCAGCCCCATGAGAAAGACTGTCTGACCTGTTTACCTCGAATCTCCAGCAACCTAGAAGTGGCCTGGCCTGGGAGGCGCTCAGCACATACGTGTTGAATGAATGAGTGAATCTCCATTTTCCTTTCAAGGACACTAAGGAAAGCCGGAACAAGGGAAGTGACTTGCACAGGATCACACGGTTGCTAAGTGTGGGGTCAGAATTTGAACCCAGAACTGGTCCTAAAGTTTGAACTAAGCAGCCACCTCCTCTTAGTGCCAGTGACACCACCTGTGCTCCAGAAACTTCCACCTTGTGGGATGGAGCACTCTATTCTTCTCGAGCTGTCAGACATTCTAAATACAGCACATCAAGGAATCTGCAGGGCACGCGACCTGCTCAGAGGCATAGTGTACAGTGAAGCTGAGGCTCGGAGAGGCTGGGGTCTTCCTTGAGGTGCACAGCTTGCCAGCAGCAGGGCTGGGATTCAACCCCCACCAGACTGCACAATCAGGGTCTTCTCTCACAACTCCAGCATGCTCTTCACCCCTGAGAAGTACGAAAGGGCCTCTTGGCCTAATGGCCTATAAGGCAGAACAGCCGTAGATCAGTCTGCCCGTTGTCCTGGCCGAGCCTGGGGGAGTCCAGCGTCACCTAAAACTGGGAGCTACTGAGAAAGAGGGTTGAGGGTTAGGATATGGCGCCCTGGGGTCAAACTCCAGCTCTGTCCCTTCCCTGCTGTGTGACCTGAGGCAAGGGGCCTCCCTTCTGTGGCCCAGGGCTCTTCTAGTAACTTGCACTGAAACTAGACAGAGTAGACAAAGCCCACTGGAGCACATGTTAAAATCAAAAGACCCAGCATATATTCTAGCTGACATGTTTCACTAGGCTGTACTGCTTAGGACATACAAATGTAGTCATAATAAAATATAATAAGCTTAATTTGAAAAAAATCAACAATAAAAAGTGGGAGTTTATTTTTCTCTCGTGTGAATGAAGTCCAGATGTAGGCAGTTCAGGGCTGGTTTGGAGATTCCATGAAGCCCTCAGTGTCCCAGGCTCCTTCCTGTTCCCTGTTCTGCCATCCCTATGGTGTGGTTCTCCTTCTAACGTGCCAACAGGGAGGCCACAGCACCAGCCTTCTCATCTGCCTTCCAGGTGGCAGGATGGAGAAGGAACGATAATGAGTAAAGGGCAAGCAAGCAGCAGCTAAATCTGTAAGAAAGACTCCAGAAACTCCAAACACACCCCCAATTACAACCCGTTGGCCAGAACTTGGTTGCATGGCTGTACCTAGCTGCAGGGGAAGCTGGGAAAAGCTGTCTTTATTCTTCACAGCCATGAAGTCTGCTTAAAGTGGATCAAATATTTGAAAATAAATAAAATAATTTCAGATAGTGATATATGCTGTGAAGGAACAAAACAGGGTGACCTGAGAGAGGAAGCCCTCTGTGAGGTGAAAGGCTGAGACATAAATTAGGAGAAGGCCTGGGACCAAGCATTCTGGGGAACAGAACATGCATGCCTGAGGCTGGAACAAGCCTGGTGTGGTGAAAAAACAGAAAGGAGGCCACTGTGGCTGGAGCTGAGATGGGGCTGGGGACACAGCTGGGACGGGGGCGAGGTTAGAGTGGTCTGCTGGGCTAGATCCCGGGGTCACCATGAGGCCTTGGGTGGAATTTGGGATTTTTTTCATAAGTACAGTGAGGAGAGTCTAAAGAGTTGAGGCTGAGGAAAAACTTGACCTGCTGTGACACCCCTTTGAGAGGACGCTGAACTCCCTAGGCCTGGGAGATTTACCTGGGACCCTTCGGAGAGCTTCATTCATTCATTCATTCATTGCACAAATGGACTATAGTAGCAGAAATGACCCTCCCGGTCCCCACCCTCAGGAGGAGGACAGACAGACTGAGCAAACATACAAGCATATCAGCACAGCTCCCAGGTAGCGGTGAGTGCTTTGAGAAGAGGAGCAGGGCTCCAAGAGGGTCTGAGAGTACCTGGGGACCAGCAGAGGCTTTTCACAGGAGGTGACTTCGAGCTGAAATTTGAACCAAAAGGAAGCATTGTCTTGGGGAGGCTTAGGGAAGAGGGAAGCAATGTGCCAGGTAGAAGGAAGAGCTTGTGCAAAGGGCTGGAGGCTCAGGAAGAGAACTGCATGTTCGAGAAACTCACCAGACTCTGGCCTGGCAAGAGGGAGGAGGGTGAGAGGGGAGCAGAGGTCAGATAGAAAGCCAGGAGGAGGGGCTCCCAGTTTCCATGTTCTGGGCAGGGTGACCTGTTAAGAGCTTTGACCTCAAATCCCTGGGATGGGCCTGTGCTCGGATCCAAGACAAGCAGGGACCTAGCTCTCCTTAGAGGGTGTTTACAGGCTCCCTGACGACACGGGCTGCTGCCTGCCTGTGGCTTGCTAGTCCCTGGGCACCGTGTGCTGGTACATTCTCCTGCTCCCATCCCTGAGAGCGCCCTCTGACTCAGCTCCTGCCCCAGCCACCCGCTCCCATCACCACCAAGGCCTCCATCCCCACCCCCATCCCTCCCTGAGAAGGCGCCACAGAACTGCATGACCCTGCCCTCATCTCCAATCAGACCTTCCCACTTCACAGAGGGAGAAACTGAGGCCCTATGGGGAAGAGACTCTTCCCCCAGTATCACCTCAAGTTTGGAGTAGAGCCAGGGCCTACTCCCAGGTCTCCTGATGCCTGGCCCTAAATCTTCACATGGTTTAATTAAAAAAAAAGAAGAAGAAGAAGTAAGAGGAGGAAGAGAAGGGGGAGAGAGGTGGGGAAGATGGAATGAGAGAAGGGAGGGAAGGAGGGAGGGAATGTATAAGTATAAATGTATAAACAATAAGAAGAAGTAAATCAAACTTCTAAGTGTGAGCCCTTCCCTGGGAGGGAAAGAAATTAGCATACACTCCCCCATGCCAGGCACCTCACCTACATCACCTTACCTACTTCAGCACCATCAGTGGAATCCTCCCAGCTGCACAGTAAGATGGATACAATTACATCTTCTGAATGGTTTGGAAAACAGACAAGCTGTGCCGCCTACTCACCACCACACAGCAGTTTCCTGGAAGAGAGGAGATTTGAACCCAGCTCTAGCTGCAGCTCCTAACTCAGCATGCTCTCTTATTGCCAAGGCTGCCTCAAGCCCAGCTTCTCTGCTCCCCTCCTTACAGAAGTTGCAGCCTCATTTTCCAAAGCTAAACAGCAGAGGTTTTTCCCTGGCTGCTCACAAGCCTGAAGATATGTTTCCTTTGGCCCATGTGGCATTTAATAGAATTTGAGCCAATGTTCACAAATCAAGAGATTTTAGATAAAAACTCAGATTTCTACCTACCTTAAAGCATTGGAAGATTGGCCTGTGCTGGGCCACGTTCCACCTGGCAACAATCAGCTGGGGGTGGGTGTGTTCGAAGGGAGTCTCCGTGCCCCACACTCCCCACCTCTCCCTACTGCCTCCCTGGCCCTGAGACTAAATGGTAGCTGCCATTTATCACAATAGATACACTGTTGTTTGTCTGAGGGCAGGGACGTTTTCTCTGTACCCATATCACTATAGAAAAGAAGAAAACAAGTCATACCTCAAGAGGGATCAGGTTTCATGAAAAATGGGAAAATGCATATTTCTTTGTGGAATTTTCTTAGTACTTATTATGCAAACGAAGTGTGGCTAAGCTCCCACACCACTGTTTAGGTTTTCTACGTGGTAACCCTAGTAGGACTGTCAAATTTAGCAAATAAAAATATAGGATGCCCAGTTAAATTTGAACTTCAGATCAACAACAAATGTTTTCATTTGTTTGTTTTAGTGTAAGTATGACCTGTGCAATATTTGGGACATATTTATACTAAAATATTTTCTTTCTTTATCCGAAATTCTAATTTAACTGAGCATCCTTTATTTTATCTGGCAACCCTACCTGAAGAGGGGTTGAGAGCAGGTCTCTTAAGGGCCTAGCATTTGAATCCAGCTTCTTCCTCTCCTGTCTGGGTGATTTAAGGAAAGTCAGTTTAAGTTCTCTGGACTTCAAATTGTTGATCATAAACAGGGATAATAACAGCATGAGGACTTGATGAGATAATATATGTAAGAGCTGAAGGCAGAACCCACCTCACTGTAATGTCAGTCGCCGGGATCCACGCCGTTGGCTGCCCCCTTCTTCTTTGCTAGCTCAACCCCGATTTGTGCCAGCCACACTGCACCCCACCCCAGGGGGGCAGTGTAATTGGTCTAGCTAATCATGTCACATCCATTCCAGTCTGCCAGTGATTGGTCCAAGGTGACCTGCTTCTGACCAATGAGACGCAATAGGAAGTTTGCAGGATGACCGCGCCAGGGAGACTTTCCTCCCACTAGGGAGGGTTGGCAGTGATGCCACTGCCTTCTCTGCTTGCCTTGGATACAGCCATGGGACATGGGGATGCTTGACCTCAGCCGCCATCCTGTGCCAATTAGGTGGCAAAAGCCAGCGTGCTGAGGATGGCAAAGGGCAAAGCCCACGCTAAATTAAAGTAAACGACAGATATTCTTATGGCTGAAGCCACTGTTAATTGGCTCTATAGAGTGGCAGCCTTAGCTTAAGAGCTTGAACTCTGGAGTCAGCTACCTGGTGTCACATTCCAGTTATGTCACTTACTAGCTCTGTGCCTCGGTTTCCCTATCTGGAGAATGGAGGGAAGATAGTATCTCCTCATGGGGTTGTAAAGAAGGAATGAGTTAGTGTAAGTGAAGTGCTAATTATTGAAGTGCCTGGCAAGCTAGACTCAGCATATAACTGTTAGTCATTGTGATTCTTCTGCATCCAAGCATTTTAATTGATAAGGGCACTTTTATTAAGTCCAAAATTCCCCAAATGCTGTGCAACCTTGAGAGTTGATAATACATTAAAGAATCTACACTCCCAAATATAAGCTAATGTTGTACCCTTTTGAGTTAATGTCAAAAGTCACCCAAGAATTATTATGTGTGTTTCTTCACACCTCATCCATCCTGCAAGGACTCAAGCAGATTCAGTAGGCTGCTCTCCACATCAGCTTCCAAGAAGGCAAAGATGGGTGTTGGCCACTCATAAAAATAAGCAATAGTCTTACCATCTGGGATTTGGGGTAGAAACTCCAGGGCCAAAATATGGTGGACTGAGCATAATTATATTAGTTAGGAATATCTTCAGCTGCAAATTTCAGAATACTCCATTAACCATGGCTTAAACAGTAAAGACATTTAATTCTTTCAGTGTGCAAAAAGTCTGGAGGTAGATGGTTTCTGGGTCAAGGCAGCATCTCAGCAGTATCATCCAGTATCTAGCCACTTTCAACCTTTCCAATCAGCCATCCTGTGTGTTGGCTTTTTGTCATTAGCCTTGCCTCATGGTCACAAGATTGTTGCCACAGCCCTTAGCATCACATCCTTAACAAAGTGCAAGACAGGAGAAAGTGTTTAGAGGAGGGCGGAATCTCCTTTCTCCTTGAGTTCTTTTAATCTGGGAAGAAAATCCTTCCAACAGTGTCCTTGGAGGGATTCCCATCACATTGAATTGGCCAGAACTGGTCTTATGTCTGTTCCATGCTGCAAGGGAGGCTGGGAAAGTGAGTTGTAGCCAAAAGGAATGGGATAATATGACTGGTTTAGCCCAACCTTAATCCCTCCCCTGGGGCTGGACCTATCACCTCCTACTCCTAAATAAAATCAGGGTTGTGTTTTTGAAGGTGAGAGGGTCTGGCTATTGAGAAGACAACAATGGTGTCACCAAAGTGTAAACCTCAGCTTCTTCCACAAATCTCACTAACACGGCAGTTAAGGGATTAAAATAGCAAAGGGAAAAAACGCGCAGGCAATGAGAAAGTGGAGGAGGAGTGATGCCTCCCAGGTTTTAGAAGCTGGAAGACTTTTTGCCATGGTTCCTCATCTGGGGTCCTAGTCCTGGCTCTGCCAGGAGCCAGCTGTGTGGCCTTGAGAAAGTCCTTTCCCCTCTCTGGACCTCAGTTTCCTTACAGTTTAGGGGAATCTTTTTGGCTAACAGCTTGCCTTAACATATCTCCAGCCTGCACAGGGAGAAAAGTAGGGGCTCTTAGTCCTTTGCTCCACTAGAGAAATGATTCTAAAAACATTTGGGTTATTTTAGGGTTGTACCTGGATTACCTAAAGGGTGTGGACTTCAAGGGCCAAAAGAAACTCATCAGTCCCAAAGGTGCAGGAAAACTTTCAGCCTCCTCCTCTAAAAGAGACCCTCGGAACTGATAAATTACAATGAATGATACTGAAAGGATGTGTGGCAAGGAAGAAGGCTGGCTTTGAGCATCTACACTTTATATCCATTTTCTTACTCTATTTCCTTATTCTCTGTGTGACCCGGGAGTAGTACTTAACCACTCTGTGCCTTAGTTTCCCTGTGTATGAAAGGGAACATACCATAGTATCCTCCCCTACTTCCATAGTAATGAACTTGTAGCTGAGCATGAGGCTGTCCCTATGAAAACTACATTTCCCAGCCTTCCTTGCAGTTCAATGTGGCATGTGACCAAGTTTTGACCAATGGGATGTGATCCTAAGCTATGCGGCCAATTTGCAGGTTGTACTTTAAAGGGGAGAGATATACCAGTCCCCCTTTCCATTTCCCACCGGCTGGAATGTGAATGTTGCCCCGTGACACCGGGGCGACTACGTAAGGAGGGGAGAGCAAGTTAGCAGCCTGGGCACGACAGTACAGGGCTTCCGTATCAGCCCCAGCCTGATAAGTCTGTTAAGACTCAGTGCACTGAGACATGTAAATCACTGAACACAGGGCTTGGAACAAAATAAACCCTTGTGTGAGTCCTTGTGGGTCTAGTGCAGTGGTTTTCATTTAAGGGGTGATTCTGTGCCCTAGAGGATATTTAGTAATGTCTGGAGATACTTTTGACTGTCATGACTGGGAATGGGGAATTGCTCCTGGCTCTTCGTGTGTAGAGGCCAGGGATGCTTCTAAACATCCTATGTGCACAGGACCCCTCACTGTAGAAAATTTAATCTCCATTCTGAGATGTCAACCTTGCTGTGGTTGAGGAACCCTGGTCTGATGGGATGATGCCCACCACTTACCTAGCGCCCAGGGCAAGTGGGAGGTCTCACCAGTTCCAGGTAATAGGCAGGACTCTTTGATTTCCTTGTCTGAAAGGTGTCTCTCTGCCCCAGTGCATCTTTATATCACTCACTCTCTCTGTCCGCACAGGCTCATTCATGGGGCGAGAGGATTTGCATCAAGGGGAAACTATAACCCCATCACGTTTCTGCAGCTCATCCCTGCCGTCTCCCACCCTTTCCAAGGCAGCAAGGGACATGTTCAAACAGCTCTGCCTTCCTCCCCACCGGCCCTGTTGCCAGCCAGGCCAGTTTCCGGGTGGTGGGCGGAGGGCACGGTGCCATCCCGATGCGGTCCAGTTTTCCCAGGCGGGGGAAGGAGGGCAGGGTTTTTTTTGGGTTTTTTTGTTTTTTTGCCTCCTGGAATGCAGGGCCCACACCATCAGGGCTGCTTGTCCAAGTAAGAGAGGGCTGAATGCTGATGAAGACTTGTAGACTGTTGAGGAAACTGCTTCCTAGAGAAAAATCCAAGTTTCTCCTCTCCAGTTTCCCAGGATGTGGCAAGCACCAGCCCTCTGGGATGGCAGGACTGGCTTCCAGAACCTTCCATCCTGGCCACATGAAAACCAAGAGACTGGAGCAAAAGCTAACCCCCTAAGAAACTCCAGGTATTCACTGAGAATTCAGGAGGAAGTGATGCCCCCACTAATGTGTTTGGAGGCATTTCTCTCTCGGCCCTTCACCGGTCGGCTGTCATTCATTTACTTAAATAGAGACTGTGCCCCACAGCTCACTGTCAGTGGCTTCCAATCACCAGCATCGGCATCTCTTTGCTGAGGGCTCTCTCTGGCCACCAGAGCCCATTAAGCCTATGTAGGACAGGCCGGAAGTGCCCAAGAGTTCATGCCCTGGCAGCTGCCCTTAACCAATGATGTGGGAGGTGTGGATAAAAGCTCATTTCCTCTCCCCTCGGTGGGAACACTCTGGAGGCATGTTCTACGCTGGGTCCAGTGTTCTGCAGTGGGAGTGAGCCCCAGTTGCCCACAGCAGTCACCTGCTCCAATATGGACACTGTATTGACTGCCTTCCCTTCCCTGTCTCATGTCCCCACCTTCTTACCCTGGGATCACCTCCCAAACAAATGATTTGAATTCTTGTCTCAGTGTCTGCTTCTGGGGGCACTCAGCCTGAGACCTACACGTACTGTGAGTCAGATACACTGCTATTTGGGGATCAGAAGGGACATGGCTGCCCCCTTGGGGAACTCACAATTAAAACTGAACACCACTCCAGTAGTCATGCAAAAGCAGAATTGCAAATGGTGATGAGGGCTGAGACTGTGAAGAAACACAAAACCTTGTTGAAACCCTCTGATGGCTGCCATCTGCTCCCAGGTCAACATCCAGAGTCCTGATTGTGGCCTCAAGGCCCTGCACAACCTGCCACTGCCTTACCTCCCTGAGCTCACCTCTCCCCACTGTGCTCCAGACACAGTGGCCTCCTAGCTGTCTCTCAGTTGTGTTGGGTATGTTCTTGCCTCAGGGCCTTTGCACATGCTGCTTCCTCTCCCTGGTAGAACTTTCCCAGATCTTCCCATGGCCAGTTCCTTCTTCTTGATTCAAATCTTGATTCAAACATCGCCTCCACAAGGAGATCCCCCACCAGTCACTCTCTTACCACATCACCCTGTTTGTTTACTTCATAACACATATTAGTCTGAACTTTTCTTGTCTATTTACTTGTTTACTGAATGATCCTCAAATGTGAGCTCCAAGAAAGCAGGGGCTGTGTCCCCAGGGCCTGGAACAAATCCTAAAACAGAGTAGATGCTCTGTGGTTGTTTGCTGGATAAGTGGTTGAATGTTTAAGTGAAGGAAAACGATGAGTGAATGAGTGATGTAAGGATGTTGGCAGGGGGACTGAATCTTGTCTGGAAAATCAGGGAAGACTTCCCTGAGGAGGTGACATTGAAGCTGAGTGTGAATGGGGATGGGACATTAATTGGGCCAAAGGGGCAGAAGGGCTACCTAGACAGAGAGATAAGCAAAAGGCAAATGCCCAGAGGCGAAACCCAGAAGACACACCAGAGCTGTGTGCGG